GCCACTGAGCTATATCCCTGGCTCTGAACTTCATTTTCTTAACTGTGCTGGTAATATTCAAAGGATATAGAAGCAGTCTTCACAGGTCTCAGGTTAAAAAAAACCACAGTTCTTTAAAAAAAAAAAAAAATCTTGCCACCTTTTTCATTCCTGAGACTCATGCATCCTTTAAAAACACTGATAGTAGGAGATAAAGTCTCTCTTGTAGCCAAGAGGGTGGTGCGATCCTTGCTGTAGTTAAAATCTTTAAAAATGCATTGTATTTGCTAAATCTAAGTGTAATGTTCCATATCACTTGCCAGATCACATCTGTCCCCTGGTGCCTTTCTGTCCATACTTGACACTTGCCTCCTCCTTTTAAAATTCACTGACTTGGAGAAGAGTAGTTTCCATGTTATCTGGACGCTGCCCTTCCCCCGACACCTACCCCCAAGCTCTACTTTAGTATCAGCAGAACCATGGTGTCTTACTATTGTTTTAACATTTGGGCCTCTGCCTGGGGAGTGGGTGGTTCGCTTTAAGCTACCCTACTTCAGTCTCCACCGAGAAAGCAATATTTTGTTATGAGGTAAAGTTTCAAGCCAAGCTGTGGCCAGGGCCTTTCCCATGTGGGAAGAGGAAAGCAGAAACAGCCAGTGAGACGATAATTCTCCTTGAATCTGAGCTCATTAAAATCTTCCCTCGTCCTCGGTGGGTTGTGTATTGATTTAGGCATCTAGCACTTTTCCTTTCCAGAAAGAATTAGCATCCCTGATGCGGTCATGGCTGAGGCAGGACGTGTTTGCCTTTTCTCTGTGGGATTAACTGTCCCCCCCCCCCCCCCCGTTGCTTATCAGTCCAGCCCACTTTAGAGTTGTACGTAGGTATGGAGTTGCTGGGCCGGAGTGAGATTCCCAAGATTTATAGGTAATGAAAAGAACAGATTGTATCGAAGCACCACGTGGGGGAACCTGAGTTTTCTTAGGGAACTCGTGTGACCTTTGACCCTTGGTTTTTTTCTAAAATGAGCATTTCAGCATTGTTCATAGGGATCTCTTTTTCATAGAGGTTTTATAACATGTTCTGATTTTGTTGCTGTTGTGCCTGAAAATTCTAGCAAAATGATGTTTCCTATCTGCTGATCTGCAGCAAGCTTTGAATGTTTGCATTTCTTTTGAGAATTACGAGGGCTGAATTTATGGCAGTCATTTATGTATGTAAATGAGGAAATACAGTTCTTAAACAGCTGTTTAAAATCCTCTTGCCACCAGAACACTTATTCCCCCTAAATATAAAATCACCCAAAAGTCTAGCTGCTTTTCAGATCTATCTGTAGAGATCAGGTTTAGCTGGAATGAACCAGATTGCTAGGGATATTAATTGTACACTTAGTGTAATTTTTGGCCCTATAGCGTAGGAAAAGAATAGTATTTAGGCAGATGTTTGGGTGGGATTTCTCTTTTCAGTGTGATTAAGCCATGGATTCAGTGTAACACAATTTCAGTGTGTTTTTCCACTTGGGATGCCATAATAAACTAAGGTGTTGAAAAATGGTAGTGCTTTTCCCTATTTGGATGATCCAATTGATCACATATTTCCTGGGTGCTACCTTTGAAATGTTGGCTTTGTTGACCCTGTGAAAAGACATTTAAGTAGTCATCCTGCTACTCCATCTGTCAGAGGAGCATGGAGCTGTCCTTGACTTTTCGTTTCTTCGTTCATAAACCACGTAGTACTGGTTTTGTTCTAAGATTCCTAAAAGATATCAGAGGGTGCAGCCCCCAGCCCAGCGTTCAGATTCAGGCGCACAAGCTAGTCTGTTCTTCCTGAATATTCAGAGGCAGCCTAACCAAGCTGAGAACGTAGAGTGCATTTGTGTGGTGGGTGGCTGTGGGGAAGGTGGTGGTGGTAACCGGGTGGGAATGTTTCAGGGGTTTATCTTTTTTTCCGTTTGAACCTACAGGCTGCAGGCAGTTGGGAAGCAGTGAAATGGAGAAAGGGCTAGCTGTGTAAGAGTGCAGGGTGGGCAGCTTTCCTTGCTCTGTACCTTTAGAATATCCCCAGGACTGGGTACACTGGGAAAAACAGGACGTGCTACTGAGTTATTTGAACTCCATGAGCTGCAGTTTCCTAGTCTACTAAATGAGCACCAGGACTCACACGTGACCCGTGCAATTGTTCCTGTTTTCTCCGTGGGTCTGATACTCCTCATGTGACTTTCTCTCTGCTTGTGTATTCAGTTTGACATCATCAGTGGCTGGGTGATGCCTGGGCAAGTGGTTATTCTTCTAAGGTCATACCCAGCCTCTTACTCTGCTCCTAGGCATGCTCCTCCAGTGTGCTATTATCAAAATACAAGCAGAATGGACTTGCCTCATGTGTTTTGCAATAGTGGTTCCAGTCTTACCTCTTCCTTAGGGGGGAAAAAAAAGCCTTGGACAAAAAATTAACCAGGGTCTCAAGGAAAATAAGTTTCATTCTCCAGCCCCTGCCAGTCCTTCCATGGATATAGCAGAAGTTCTGTATGAGTCTCATTTTAACGGCGCACCGCTACAGCCTCTGTTTTCTCCTAGGCCACTTCGTGAATCAAGATGTCACCCATATTCACTGTCTTCCCCATCTCTTGTGTCCATCAGTCAAGTCCGTGATCCTTTTATGTTATACATACTTAGTGATGAAAATGTATACAAGCCCAAATAAAAAATATGGCATGTATTTAAGTAAAAAAAAATTATTACAGTAAAAGACACATTGCCACCAGTCCCCCTAAAAATACTCCCTTTTGCTTCAATACACTTATCCTATTGCTCTTGTCACTTTCTGAAGCAGTTCTGCATGTCCTCTTTCATGAGTGTCTTTCGGAGTTGTGACCAGAAGTATGGTGAATGCTGCTGCTGAGTGCCATCCAATGGAAAGGCATTAGAAAAACATTACAGTGTGTCCTCATCTGCCTTATTCTTTGGATATGGCACTGTGTGATTTCTGGCTCTTCTCCACAGTCAAAATGACCCTGAGAGGTAGACATGTTGTATCAGTTTAGGATATTGAAGCAACCGAAACAGCAGTACCTAAAGAAACTCACGAAAGAAGACTTCCAGAACTCCTTCAGAAACTGGCAGGAAGATGGGATAAGTGTTTGATGCAAGAGAAGTATTTTCAGAGGCGGTTAGTGGCAATGGGTCTTTTACTGTAACAAAATTTTTGTAACAAACTTTTCTTTTTTGTAACAAATTTTAAATGTAAATATTCACTGCAGGTTTTGATCACACCTCATATCCCCTAAAGACATTTTTGAGGTTTCATTCTTTTCTTTCTAGGATGTCTCAGTCACATTCTCTTTGTACTTACACATGCTTGAAGGAGACAAGTGATTCCATCCATGTCTTCAGTTTGGAACAGAACTCAGAATCTGTGATATTCCCTCTTAGTTATAGCAGTAGTTGGTCGTGTCTTTTTGCTACAGATTAAAATGTGTATTTTTCTTTTTTCCTCTTAGCTTCAGGAGGCCGACATTGTGATCTTAGGCTCACCTAAGCCAGAAGAGATTCCCCTTACATGGATCCAGCCGGGAACCACTGTTCTCAATTGCTTCCATGACTTCCTGTCAGGTAAATGTCTTAACAACATCAGTGAGGGGCACTGCCTAAGGCAGGTAAGATGATTAGAAGTGGCAACCTTGGTCATTCAGAACAGTGTGTTCTGAGAGCCGGGTTCAGTGTGCGCATGCAGGACAGGAGAGTTAGACTGCTGGACCTAGTTGGGCGGAGGGAATATAAGATGTCGCCAGGGAAGCTGCCTGCCCTGCCACGTCAAAGCATCCTTCTGGCCTCTAGCATCTGACAGTTGAGGCAATTGTGACCTGAAGGAGACAGTTTATATTTGTGTGGGATAAACTGGAAATACTGGTTTTCACAGATTCAAAACATGGTAGAATCCTTTCTTCTAGAGAAATCTTAGCTGAATCTCAGTGTGTAAAGCAGGGTTGCTGGGACGGGTAGGAATGAAGTCCAGCCTTGGGTCTCCCACATTTCCCCTCACAGTGACCCCGGAAGTACTTCCTCAGGGCCCCTAGGTCACCTCCATGCACCATGAAAATCACCAGCAGAAACAGAACTGGTTTTAGGGTTGCCGTTGTCAGATGGTATCTCACCAAGGGATCAAGCAATGGTGTGGACCATGCCTGGCCCACCACAGCAATTCCTGTGTCATAGAGAGTGCTAGAGACAGCGCCAAAGGGGGAGCCAAGGACCCCCGCTTCCTGTTACCTTTGGCTTTGTTCTACAAACGTCAGTGTGGAGAAGACTGAGCCAGGCTAAAGGCAGCAACCTTTAGTGCCCAAGCTGGTGAAGATGCCCCAGGCAGAGAAGGCCTCTTGTTCTTTCACCTCCCCAGCGCCACAGTGGACTGTGAGGTCTTGAAACCTTTGAGGCGACCCCAGGACAGAGTGAGCCACGCCCAGAGGCTGGCACGGACCCTCCCCTGGGGAAGCCTAGGAACAGCACCGCTCCCCGGTGAACCCCCAGAAACAGGGACGGTGGTGTGGGCTGGAGAGGACCCACTGGTCAGGCGTGCTTTGAGAGTGTGGACGAATGCAGCAGAGGTGCAGTCCGGTGTGAATGTGGCTTTGAGGCTCTTTTTAACAGGAGTGAAGCATGCACCACGGAACTTCTTTAAACCTCGTGACATTTCTACATATAACTTAGATTTTCTCCTAAAAAAGGGCCTAAACTCTAAATGGTGGATGTGCAAACTGTTCCTCTGCTTGGAATCCTGGTGAGATTAGGAAAGTCAGTTTGGGAATTCTATTTCTTTTAAATGATTTTTTTTTTTTTTTTTGGCTATGATTTATTTGTTTTTTTGTTTTTTGTTTTTTTTTTTTAAATAAGGGTTTATATTTAGCACAGTTTTGATAGAGTCCTGGCTGAACATAGGAAAACCTACTTCAGTGTTCTCTTAAAATTTCTTTAAGCTCTTGTTATTATGTGAAAGTGACGTATTTTATTTCAGTAAAACAGTTTTATTTCTAATAATGTTTTCTTTTAGCACTCTTGCTTTTGAAAAAGGTATTCCTGAAAACATGAGATTTCATTGTCACAGCGCTTTTGGGAGGGGCCTAAGAGACAAAAGCGTCGCATGTTCATTTAATGATTCTATAAAGTAGACTAATTGTAGTTGGGTTATTTTAAATTCCGGTCCTGGTGTAGTAGTTCTCTTGTTCATTTCTGAATACTCAGTTCCCAAATGTGGCTGACACATAGTAGCGGTCAGTAAATACCGGGTCAGCAAGTATTATACTCTGCCAGAGTGACGCCGGCGGTAGTGTGTGAGGGCTGACACCGGGAGAATGTTCCCTGCAGCTAAGGGCGTGGCTCTTCAAACAAGATAGGGTGATGTTCCAGGAACTCCGCTCAGGAAAGTTATGCCTTAGCTGCTGGATCTTTTCCTTCCACTGTGTCTGAGTGGAAGATGTAGTTTATCTTTTTATATTTTGGTGTTTTGTTTTTGCTTTTTGAGACAAGTTCTCACTATGTAGTCCAGGCTGACCTTGCACTCTCTATATAGCTCTGGCTGACCTTGAACTCATGGCAGTCTTCTTGCTTCAGCCTCTGGAGTGCTGGGATTAGAGGCGTGTGCCACCACACCCAGCCAGAGTTGTAGATTTTAAAATAGGGCAATGTCGGGGCTGGGGATTTAGCTCAGTGGCACAGCGCCTGCCAGGCAAGTGCAAAGTCGCGAGTTCTATTCCAAAAAAAACAAATAAAAAAAAGTAAATAAAATAAAATAGGGCGATGTCAGTGTTCTCTAGCTAAAAGGCTAATTACATTCTATTATTATTTAAAAATTATTTAAGTAAGTTTGCTGTGTTCTCGGAACAACTTGCTCGCTAAGGAGCAGAGCCGACCCTACGCAAGGCCATTTTCTACTTCAAGTATCATTTTCCCAGCGCTGTTCATAATAGCGTTACATTTCTAAACAATCAAAGTTTTTATTTTATCAGCTTTGATTACTATGAAAATTTACCCTCTGAATTAAGTTACAGAATGGTTTCCTTCCTCTCTTTTCTTCACAATCTTGCCATTAAAAACAAATGAGATTTTTTGAAACATTATTAAAAAGAAAAATGCTTTTGTTTAAACTTAAGACCAGAAGAAGAATGTTTAATACACTTGTGGCTGGGGGAAGGCCGCGCTGTGTAATGAAATTTTCATCTTCACCCTGAAGGTACCCACTCCCTCCCCGTAAAAGGAGGTGGGATGCGGTGATTCAGGGTGAGATAATTCTGCAGAGGCAAGCTATTGAATACCTAATCTTTGGAGAGATTTTCCTGATGGCTGTTACCCCAGAAGTTGCTCAGAAAACAATTACACCAGCCCTACCTGAGTCCGGCCTGGGGATGGGGAAGCAGAGCAAAACTCAGCACTCTGTTTTCTAGCTGTAAGAGTAGTGACATTTTTCTGTTATTAAACAGCTATTTTAAATGAAAGAAATGGGCTGTGGTATTGTAATCACTTGTTCGCTAAGGAGCAGAATTTGCCGCAAGCAGGACTGTGTCGGGCTCCAAATATGGAGCCTAAGCTGGTGTTGTGCTTCTTCCCATGAACAGCGTGGGAACAGCAAGCCGTGTTTCCGCGTGATTTACAGCACCATTTTAACCTAACTTGGTTCTGTTTACTGTAGGATGAGGGGTGAGCCTTGGGCCGTACCCGGGGCTCAGAGTAGTGAATGAGGGGATCACCACTGGGGACCGTGGCTGTCCCCACAGTGCCCCTGAAGGGAGACAGTTAACGTAGTGCCAAGGGCGTGGATATCAGAGTGAGGGTCACCCTGACTCAAAGTGAGGGGCCTGTTGTTTTTTTTAATTCTTAATTGTATTCCATTTATAGGCAGTGTGACTTGGAGGAAATCACTTAAGCTCTCTGCTCCCCAATTTCCTCATGCCTGAAAGGAGAGAGGGGCCGTTGGGAGGAGCAGATGAGGCGATACCCAGGCAGTGCCTCTGTCATAGAGCAGTGGCTGCCAGAAACTGCTTCCCCACCCCCGCTGCTGCTCTGTCTCCAGTGCGCCGATGAGGTGGACCCCTCACAGCAGAACAGACAGGTCACGGGAGATCGTGCCCGAGGAAGGCAGAGCCCCAGGGAAACCCCGAAAATGTAAGAAGGCAGCTTTAGAGAACTTGGACTTCAATCGTCCTCATGCATTTTGAACAAAACAAGGATGTTTGTTTATGATTTTTAAATTTTAGTTATTCTAAAACACATCGCATTTTTATTAGCTGTGCTTTATTCCCCTAGAAGTTCTGGATGTTACATATGATTTGTTTTCCTTTCTTTTCTCCTAGAAATTCCAATTATTTTAATGGTCTCATCTCTCTCTCCCTCTCTCCCTCCCCCCCATATATATATATATATAAATCTATGCATCCTCAGCGCTGAGGATTAAACTGAAGACCTAAAACATACTAGGCAAGCGCTCTGCCACTGAGGTATAGCCCCAGCCCTAACTAACTTTTTACTTTTATGCAGTTATGCATTAATTCCTTTGTAGTCTGGTTTCAATGGTTCCAGAAGCATGCTTGTGTAAGTTGATAATATTGTTATGATACATTCCTAAAGGTGATGTGCTTTTGTTTGGTGGTGGGGTAATGATTTTAAGGTAGGAGAGCAGCTCTTGAGGGCACTATCACAAAGTTACACTAAATGATTTATACTAAGTTCATTTATTGCACGTTACCTTTTTTGGTGCTTTTAAGATGGGGTCTCACTATGTATTCCAGGCTGACTCAAACCCACAGGGATCCTCCTGCCTCAGCCTCTTGAGTGCTGGGATGACAGGCATGCCCCACCACACCAAGCTATTGCGTGTTACTTTTTATCCTACAAAGTCAATATTAACCGAAACACCAGTCACCAGTGTTTTTTTAAGTTATATCTTCACTGATTTCTAAATTTTTTGTTCTTCCTGGTTTTGAAACCTCACATTAAGTTTTTGGAGTAACTTCCATTCTTAGAGGGAAGAAGCATTTGGATGTTGGGTGTGTGCTCTTTTGAGTGAGAAGACTGCCTTCGGCCAGACTGCAGCAAAGCCCAGCCAGCTCAGGACAGCAGAGGGGCGGACGAGGAAGAAAGGGGCCTCAGCCCCGCACAAGTCACACAACTCGCTTACTCTTCTGGCAAATTTCCCAGGGTTGTCTCAGAACAGCTTGTGGCAGGGAACGGGCTTTCTGCCTTCCGGGACAGCATGATAACCCATTAGCCCTAAATTTTCTTATTTCAGAAATTTTCACTATCATAAAAACATTTATAAATGAAAGGCCTACTTTTAAAGTAATTCATTGGCTGTCTCCAGAGGATTCATCAATTAAATTGCAGTACTCAGTGGAAAGTGGGAATACCCATCTGCAGGTTGGGACAGGACTCCTGTCATGCCTGGGTCCAGGCCGAGACCTTGGACAGTCCCCAGGTGCAGCTTCCTTGCACAGGCCGGTGAAGTCATGCTTTCCTTTTCAAGTCCCTTCACCTTGCAATCTACTAAGAAGGAAGATACTCCTCACTCACTGAGTTACCTGATTTACCAAGTTACTGCTTTGCACTGTCTGGGTTCAGAAATTTTAATTCAGTTACAAGATTGAGGCTGAGGTAGGAAAATTCCAAGTTCAGTTGGCTTGGACAACTTAGCGAGATCCTCCTCAAAAAATAAAAGCATGTTTTTAAAACACTGCATTGATTCCTACCACAAAAGCAATACAGTAGTTCAGCAGTAGAGCATGCATGAGACCAGGGTTCAATCCTTAATCCTGGGGGAAAAATTTTTTTAAAAAACCCTTGATCTTGTCACCTGAGGATAGCTGTTTTACATTTTTGCATTAAAAAAAACGTTAAGCTCAATTTTATTATGTAATAGAAGTAAAAGAAAGTATAATAAAAGTATTACTAAAACCTAGACAACTGCTTTTTCAAGAAAAAATATTGGTTCCTATAAGGATCTGGTAAAGTTTATAATGTATATACGTAGTGTGTGTGTGTGTGTGTGTGTGTGTGTGTGTGTGTAACTAGATAGATGGGTAGATATTTAGAGATTGTGGGCTTTCTGGTATGCCTTTAAGTATTTGTTGTTTTTAGTATAGCAGAAGATAACTTTGCAGGTAGCAAAGCTTAATCTACGATGCATAAAAATGAGAAGGCCATACTGTTGAACAGAGTCAGCGTGCTTGGCTCCTGACGGGCGTCCTCTGCTGTTGCAAGGACTGTACCTGGTCCACATCTTCTGATCTTTATAGATGTCAAGCTTTGAGCTTAGCCAGGGTCTATGAGGAAATAAACGCTTTTCACAGTTTTTATAGTTTTAGTCACAGGCTTCTGTACTTCGGGTTATAGATTCCTCTGTGGTGCTTTCCCACCAGTCAGATCATACTTTCTGCTTTCTTGTGCACATTTCTCATGATTTTCTGGTCCATTCCCAGCAGCGTTTTTACTACTATGGATTAATTTGCTTTCAATCACTTGGGTGGAAAAGAGAGAGGAATGCTGGGTGTGCCTCCTGCTCTTGAGCTGGGAGCCTTACAAGAGTTTTTGTCTTGTCGATCCTGCTCCTCCTGCATGGCTTATCCACACTTATTGAAGTCACTTCTAAGATGGTTTAAATATGTCTGCATTCATACAGTTTTTTGAAGGAGCATAATTCTCCCTTTTTCTAAACCTTATGTTATCTAAATGGCTGTAATTAAAGGAAAAATTATTTACTATAACTATGTGGATGAAATATTCTTCAATCACATAGATTTTTGTGATTTGTTATGGTTTGTGTCTGCATGTCCCCCAAATCCTCATGCAGTCATGGGGCAGGCATCTAAATTTTTGATTGATCCATAGTCCAATGCTGGGATTACGAGTGTGAGTGCTGCGCCCTCCCTGGGGTGGGTAGCTTGCATACAGTTTAAAGGAGGGAAAGAGCCTTGTTCTTCCTGTTCCTCCCTTTTGCTCTTGTTGCTTTTGCTATCTTCTGCTGCCATGAACTGTTGCCCTCTGCCACATGCCACTGTGCCTTGGAGCCAGCCAGTTACTGACTGAAATATCCACAAACTGTGAGCTAAATAAACCTTTCCTTCCTTAATTTTGGGTGTCAGGTATTTGGTCCCAGCAATGAGAGAAAAGTAACCAAGACACGATTATATTTAAAAATTGCTACCAGCTCCTAGAAATTCTTTTGCTTTATTTCTCCATCAGTTAAAGATGAAAGAGTGACACCTGTAATCCCAGCTACTGAAGAGGCTGAGGCAAGAGAATCATAAGATCAATGCCAGCTGAAACGACTTAATGAGACACTGTCTCAAAATTGAAAAAATAAAAAGGGCTGTAGATAGATATAGCTTAGCGTTCCTTGGGTCCAATCCCTAGTGCTGGAAAAAAAAAAAAGAATAAAGAAAAAGAAAGTGACACATTTTTTTCCTGTAGTAGTTGGACAAGATTTTAAGATTGCATCTCTAGTGGTTAAAAAAAAAAAAAAAAACAAATCTCTCTCCTTCAATGACTCTTGCCTTTTGCTTAGATATGATTTATAAAACTGAAGTGTTGCTAATCTTCAAACAATACCTGAGGGGATATGATTTTCTAACACCCCTAATACACTTGACAGTAGTACATCACAGAACACATTTTCTTAAGTGTTTGGTGTGCCTCCTTGCAGAGGACTGTCAGCAGCGTGGATAATTTAGAGTACTGTGATCCACAGAAAGAAAAAATACTCTTTCTTAATTCAAAAAAGTTGCTGTTAGAAACATTGCCTTTCTTGAAGGAAGGATATAGGCTAAAACGTTTTGTGTGCATGTTTGCTTTTCATAAATTTTGTAAGTGCTAACTAGAGGAAGGAAAAGTGGGATTACTATCAGTGCATTTCCATGTTGAAAACCAGATGTGTTCTCTTTTTGTTACTCTGAAAAAATACCTGGGAGAATTAACTTCAAAGAGGAAAGGTTTGTTTTGGCTCGCGATTTCAGAGGACTCGGTCCATGGGTATTTGGCTCTTGCTTTGGGCCTGTGGCAGCACCATACATCATGGGGGAGCACACAGCAGAGGAGACCGTGCACGGCACCCAGAAAGTGAAGAAGAGGCGAGGTCCCCATAGCCCCCTCAAGGCCCCCCCACCTGACTTCCTTTACCTCCCAATAGTGCCATAGACTGGCACCCAAGCCTCTTACAAAAGGGCTTTGGGGAACAGTCAAGATCCAAGGTATAGCATAAAGTTCATATCCTAATATGTAATTTCTTGGTTTTGATGGAAATTTGATTGTGTCAGTTCTATGACAGGGATTGTTTTTGAGACAGGGTTTCACTGCAGTTCAGACTGGCCTTGAACTTCACTTTGTAGCCCAGGCTGGCCCCAAACTCACAGTGATCCTCCTGCCACAGCCTCCCAAATGCTGGAATTATGGGCGTGCACCACCACACCTGACCCACGACAGGGATTTTTTTAAATGATCAAAGAAAGCCTTCCATCGGTTTCTCTGGGCTCATCCTGTGTTTTGATCTCCTTGTTATGCCTCAGTGTCCACAAGTGACAGTCACTTTTTTTCTGAGTAAATTATCCAGGAAAGGTTATAGATCCTTCTAATAAGATGAAGCCTTTTGTTGCATTAAAAATCCAAGTTAAGATAGCGAGTGGTTCTGACAGGTTACGTTGTGGAACACAGTGTGTATACCTGTCCTTTTTCCAAACTCTTTTTTACTGTAGTAGTTTAATCGTACACAGCATACCAAGTATGTTACACGCCACATCTCGTTTTATTTCACAGAGTCCTATGAGGTTTATATTACCCGTGCTAATTAACAATCGCTGGTGGGAGGTGGAGGCTTGATTTTCATCCAGGTCTAACTCTGGGCAGTGCCTGATCTGCAGCCTCTGCTGCTGCACACTGTGTGTTTCAGACACTCCCTGTGCACTGTCTTGAGCTACTCCGGTATACATTTCTAATAGTGCTGTATTTTTTGATACTTGGAGTTCTTTGAAGAGACTGTGCAGCTAGATGTTTTGCTGTGGTTCAGCGTGAGGTACAATTTCTCAAAGCAGAGTGTGCGTCGTTAAATCACATCTGCATGTATCCCAGGGCAAATCTTAGGTCAGTGATGATGAACCTTTTAGAGACCAAACTGCAATCCCAAACCCACGTATTTAGCCCAAAGTGCCAACACTGTAATTAAACCTGAATACTGAGGTCTTAGTTCAGAAAAAACAACTGTTATCCAATGCTCTTGGCTGCTGGGGCAACTTGGCTCACATGCCGACAGAGAGTGCCATAGGTTCGCCACCACTGGCTTAGGCGGGCATTTCTGTGATGTGAAATATAAAACAGGCCCGATTAGAGTCTGTGCCACAGGTGACCCACCTGCCGCTATGCCTGGACCTCCTAACTTCCTCAGCTGAAAATTGAGACTGTTATTCTGTGTGCTAGATTTTTTATAAGGAGCAGTTGCTTATAATCATGGCAGTATGCTGAGAGTCTTTTTTTGTTTTGTTTTGCTTTCTTCTCAACTTCTACACAGGAAAGCTTAGCTGTGGCTCTCCCAGGGCCCATCTGAACAGACTCATTGCAGAGGATGACGTGGGTCTCCTTGCCGCCGCTCTGCGGATTCAGGTTTGTTTGCACCGCTTTGAGAATTTTGTACAGGGAGGTCTGACTCACTGTTGCTCACGTCTCGCACGTGTTTTCTCTTTACCGTGTACAGCATGAAGCACTTCACATACCTAGCTGCAAGCCCCTTGATAAATGAGGAAGGAGACATTAAAACTCGTTTCTCGCTCAGTGGTTGCGTAGTTGCATGAGAGCAGGCCCCAAGTCAGCGCCTATGTTTTAATTATCTATTGCTCTGTAGTACATTAACCCACCTGAAAGCATCGGCCATGTAGTAGCTCGGTTTCTGTGGGTCAGGGACTGGGAAGCAGGGTAGCTGGGTGGCGGGGTGGTTCTGGCTCAGGATCACTCTTGTGATTGAAACAAGAGTCAGCTAGGGCTGCAGTCACCCAGAGATGGCTGGAACCAGATGGCGCCCTCACCTGGCCATTGGCGTGTGACATTTAATTCCTCCTCGTCTATTGGCAGGATGCCCTGGCTGCTAATCATGAAGACCTTGCCTCAGGCAACTTGCAGTGTGACAGCTAATTTCCCCCAAATGGGTGGTTCTAGGTAGAAAGCGACAGAGGAGGCCACAGTGTGTCTTAAGGTCTAGTCTCTGATTATAGACCCTGCCACTGCCTTTGCTTTTCCTTGTTTGTTAGATACAAGTCAACAAGTCTAGTTCACGTTCAAAGGAAAGAGAATTGTGTTTTAATGTCTCCTTCCTCATTTATCAAGGGGCTTGCAGCTAGGTATGTGAAGTTGCCTAGTTCACGTTCAAAGGAAAGAGAATTGTGTTTACCCCCCTAAAGACAAGATCTTAAAAAATTGGTAGACACCTTGGTGAGGCAATTGGTAGACACCTTAGGGAAACACCATCGTCTGTGTGACTTAAAGTCCAGGGTCCCCTGCTGTCACTGTGTTCTCTGAGAGTTCTGACGGTCCTGTAGCCTACAGTAGTGGTGTCTCTAGCAGGGACATTGATGAGTGATAGAATCCGGAAGCTCCAGTTGCTTCCCCAGCAGAATTAAACAAGCAAGTTTTAGTTCATTTCTTTCTTATGTACAAGATGGTACACAAGATTTTTATGTTTCTGTAAGGATTATAAATTATATCTCAAATCAAGCCAAATTTTATTTCCATTTATTTTAGTTTCTTCATAATTTATTGTATATATGTATGCATATATGTAACTACTTGGAATTCAATTTGCTTTTTCATTTCCACCAACAATAGAAGGATGGTATTTGAAGTTGTGTTGCACATGTTGAAAATTAGGCATCCCAGCTGATCATGAGTGTAGTCTTACATTCTTTTCATTTCTCTTTTGCAATTGAGATGAGCAGTTTTTTCTCTACAGGATGCCTTCTGTGAATACTTAAGCTATTTTAGTGGTGCTTATATCTCACATTTTCCTTTTCAAGCAAAACCTGTGAGCCTAATTAGATGTGAATAAAATTATTGCTAATATTGTTAGTTTATCATGTGCCCCAGGGCCCTTTCTGTCTGCAGCGCCCATGAACAGCGTCCCCACAGTTTAAGTGCACACCCTGCCTTGTTCACATCTGTAACCTCTGCTTTCCTCGCTTCCTCTTGAAGAACATGGTCAGCAGTGGACGGAGGTGGCTCCGAGAACAGCAGCACAGGAGGTGGAGACTCCACTGCCTGAAACTGCAGCCTCTCTCCCCCGTGCCAAGGTAAGCCTGGTGCTCAGCAGTACCCGGGTCAGCGCCCTGAGTGCCCCTGATCTCCTGTTAGTCCCTGGGTAAGGGCATGACTCAGGTTGTTTTGGATTTGGAAGGAGATAAGTCTTCTCTGATCATCAAATTGCCACATTATTCTCTCTTAGCATAAATTCTTCAAAATTAAATCGTGATGAACACATTTTGATATTCTATCAACTCTAAGAATTTGTATTGTACTATTTCATTTTATTTCAGTGACGTGTCCTTTACTGAAGTGCAATATGTGTTATTAGTCATCCAGAAAACAGTGGTTTTAGACTTAACAAAATACAGGAATCGGTATTTAAGACATGCTTTTCAGGGCTCGAAATGCCCAGCACCCAGATGAGCTAGGTCTTCAGGGTGAGTAGGTCTCCGCTCCAGGAGAAAGTGGTCAGCTGAAGCAAACGTCATTGCGCCCAGCAGCTGTGCTCAGCTTGCTTCAGGACTGTCTACAGGATGCTCTGAAAATCCAGATAGGTAATTTCTTCACAGCGGCATTTAATAAGGTATAAACTACATAATCTTGGCATAAATTTAGAACTACAAACTGCAAGATATAATCTCAGTGTGTGATTTTGAACAGTGAGGTAGATGTGACCTGAGCCAGGGACGTGCTCTTTATGGCCTCCTGCTGAATCCTCCCTTTTGCCCCACACAGAGAATCGACCCGGGTGTGCGTCATGCCCGAGCGCCCCTGGGTAATCCCACCAGCAGTGATGGGATGCTGAGGGTGAAGTAGATAAACCCTCCAGGAATTGACTAATGCGTCTCTTGATGACCAGGTGCTTTTTAGCGTTGACCTCTGTTCCCTTGGCCAGTCAGCCATCCACCCTGGTTTGATGATGCCCACCAGGCTGGTGCAATTCTGGCTGTTTTCTCCCCTGCATAGACTAAACATCTTCGTCTCGCTCTGCTGTGTGCTCACTGACACATAAACTCCAATGAGCAATATTATTCTTTGCAACATCATCTCTGTATTTGTACAATTTGTTTCATAAACTATTTAATTTTTTGAAGTTATTTGTAATTGGACCTTCGTTTTTACCAGTAAATCGATAAATTTTGCTTAGAGCTGAAAAAGAAAAAAATTAAGGTAGACTGCACTAAATTCTGTACCAAAGACTTAAAATTCGACTTGGGACCAATAACCTTATTACTTTAAAAAAAAAAAAAAGAAAGATACTTGGGAAAAAAACAGAAAAATTCTACTTGGGGAGGGAAGTTTTATTGTTTAACCAAATGTGACTTCTAGAGCCACTCGGGAGAAAGAGAGGCAGGCTGAGAGTCAAAATGATGTCACTGTGACTCTTCAGCTGGCAACCAGAAAAGCTTAGAGATTTTCCACAGCTTGGCTCTTGAATAAAATGTGTAACTAGGAAAGCAAAATGAATAGGATTCTAGCAAGTAAAAGCAACTGAACAGAGGACTGGAAGACACTGCCGGGTGGGGGAGCCCCACCTCAGCCCACACAAAGCCCGAGGGGTGTCTCCCTTCTTCCAGCTTCTCTGCTTCCCTTTCAGGCAGCTGAAATGGAGAAGTTGTGTCTTCTTCATTAAGATCAGAACACACACACACACACACACACACACACACA